ACACTTACTTAATTGAGTACCCACACTGGATATTAAGTGTCAGGTACTGGCCTAGGTTCACTGGTAAGTATTATCTATCACTGTGGCCTCCTGATGCTAGTTTTTACTCTTTATGGAAATGATTCTCAAACTTTGGCAGGCGTCAGAATTGCTTAGAGAGTTTGTTAAAACACAGATCACTGGGCCCCATTCCCAGAGTTTCTGATTCAGAAGATTTGGGGTAGAGACCAAAAGCCTGCATTTCTAACAAGTTTTTATGTGACACTGATGCCTTTGGTATGGGGACAACTCTTTGAGAACCATAATTTATCTCCAATTTAATAGGGAAAAATGTAGAAAAATTGTTGTTAATGGCAAATTAAGATTTTTTTAAAAAATAAATGTAGCTCAGAACTTTAAGCAGAGCTTTTTAAAAATTATTATTATTTTTAATCCTCACCAGAGGATATTTTTCATTGCTCTTCAGAGAGAGTGGGAGGAGAGAGAGAGAAACATCGATGTGAGAGAGACACATCGATTGATTGCCTCCTGCATGGGGCTGGGCATCGAGCCTGCAACCGAGGTACATGCCCTTGGCTGGAATCGAACCCGAGACCCTTCAGTCCACAGGGCAATGCTCTAACCACTTAGCTAACCAGCTAGGGCATAAGATTTTCTTAAGTGGATAATTATCTCTCATGACCTTAGTGATGGTCAGAATGTATTTTGTAGTCATAACAATGGAAAAACAGCATAGAGAATGACAAACCCCAATAAAGAAAGAATTTCCCTTCCATCATTATAGTCTGAGAATTTTTTTAGACTTTAAGGCAATTCACTGGAAGAAGTCTAAACAGCACCAGGTCCTAAGGACTAAATAATATACCAGTCCAAAAAAGTGCTAAAGGATTACGAAGTTGAAAGCCAAGGTGCCATTTGTTTTTTTGCAAGCAACCTACCACTGCTTCTAATTATGATAAAAATATTTATATATAAAGAACTAGATATAAAGGAGATCCTGTGTATCTTTTAGATAGGTTTACTTTGATAATATTAAAAGCATCATCATTGACATGGTTTAAAAATTTACAGCTTTAGTTTTGTCTGGCCAAATATTTTGATGAAGTTAGAATTTAGTCTAAAAATCATGGATTGGCAAGAACAATGTGGTGTGTGAGACCAGATTGGGAGTTTTATCCAATTTGGATAGAAGTCTATAGTGACTTTCCGAGTTGGCATTAGAATTGTCTTTGACTAACTCCTTTCCTTATCACCTATATCTAGACAGTCCCTAAGTTCTCTCACATTTTCCGTGCAGCAGTGTCTCAGATTCCCTTCCTTTGTACTTTTGTCTAGATCTTTACTTCCTCATGAAAATTCTCCAAGCTCATTTGGCTGACTCCTCTGTCACAGTTTGAAATGTACCCCTATTGTACTTAGACCAATCCAAACCTTCCCAGCATAAACATTTCTTTCTACAGTGGCTCCTCTTCCATTATAATTATGTGAATTTCTCCCATTCGAAAAACAACTTATTTAACCATCTCCTGTTGTTAAATACTGAAGATGTTAACCACTGTTTTATATTTGATATCATATCCTGTTCATTCTTTTTCTCAATGAATTTAGGAGCAATGATTGTGGCACATTCATGGGTAGGATATATCCAACTATTAAAATGATTGTTTAAATTCTTGATATGGAAAATGTTTGAAATGTTTTTGAAGAAAAAATATTTATACCGGACTATTTATAGCATATGTTTCTTAATTACAAATAACTTATCTATTATCTATCTATCTATCTATCTATCTATCTATCTATCTATCTATCTATCTATCTATCTATCTGTCTATCTATCCCTATCTATCATCTGTCTGTCATCTATCTAATCTATCATCTATCTCTTTATCATCTATCTATCATCATCATCATCTATCTATCTATCTATCAATCTATCTATCTATCATCTATCTATCTATCTGTCTATCTATCCCTATCTATCATCTATCTGTCATCTATCTAATCTATCATCTATCTCTTTATCATCTATCTATCATCATCATCATCTAGCTATCTAGCTATCTATCTAGCTATCTAGCTATCATCTATCTATATCATCTAATCTATCTATCACCATCCATGGCAATGGTCAACTCTGGGTGCTTGGATTGGACTAGTATGTATTTAAGGATGTTTCACAGTAAACAATAAAAGTTATAAAGTACATAATAAAATAAAAAGAAAATATGCGTACATCTGAAAGTGATTGCTATTAGAGAGTGGGATTTTGAATTTTTTTTCTGCTTCTGTATATCTCTAATTTTTTTATTACACTAGTACTAAATAGTATTTAAACTTAGTATTAAGTAGCATTTAATAGCATTAAATATTTAATAGTATTGAATATTATTTACATTTAGTATTAGAGGGTATACAATTAATTAAAAGGGTTTAATTAAACATTATATTTAATTTATGTAAATATATGCCAGACCATATGTAATTTCCGCAATATCTCTTCTGTGAAAAAACTTTAGAGCTTTATTTTCCCTAGTATCCAAAGTTCAAACTTGTTAGTCTGGAAACCAGGCTCTCCATAACTTAGGGCCTGTAGGTTCTTGGCTTTCACTATCCAGTGTTTCATCTCAACAAGATTTCAGTGCTCTTAGATGGAATCCCAACTCTTTTTCTGCTTCACCATTTCCCTAGTTCTCCTTGACACTCACCTATCCTCCAGGCCTAGGCCAAATGCTGTCTTCCATGGTCTAACTCAAGCATCTGTGTACACTTACGTTTTTGTTTTTAATTTTTTAAGGTCTGTTTATTTCTTTCCTATGTAGTATTTGTACATACATATTATTAGCTTCTCAATTTCATTCATTGCACATGTGTTTCTTGGGGGGGAAATGGGGGTATAGTTAAACTAGTAAAATCTATCCTCTCATAACGTATGATTACTCATTTATGAACTGTACAACACATATGGGTATGAATTGTCGCTTGGCCACTTGCTGACTGCGTGCATTTAGACAAGGTATCCAACCTCTCTCTACTTCGTTTTGCTTATTTGAAAATTTGAGGAAATGGTATTTAGTATTGCTAAGGATTCAGTGTGACAATTATATGAATATTATAGATTATCTGATATAACGTCTAATGCAGTGGTTTGGCTAAAAAGAGATTGTTTTCCTACCAGGGATGTCTTGAGGTGAGAATTTGGTAGCTGAAGGGGAAGCTCTGACAATTTCAGCACAGGCTTCCTTTGCTAAGATGCTGCTCCAGTTTTCCCAGACAACAAAAAGGGGGGGAAAAGAAGTGAGATCTAGGGTTGCACATATCATTTCCTCTCCCATTCCACTGACCAACATTTAGTCCCATAATCACATTTAGCTGCAATGGAGTCTGGGTAGTTAAGTCTCCCTGTGTGCTCTACTCAGGGGTGTGGGTCTTATTATTTAAGGTAGAAGGGAAGATTGGGGCCAAACGATATTCATAATAAAATCAGGATTCTGATCCTGAAAGACTGTAACTCACACCCAACTGGGTTGTGAGACCTCCGATAGCTTCCTGCTGACTTTTCTAGTGCAATCCTATCTATAGATATGCTACACATACCTTTTCCTTCAAACTGTTAAAACTCATAAAGGACAGGGAATCTGTCTGCTTGTCTTATTTAACTTTTAATGTGTACCCTTATATTCTTTACTTTCTCCTCTAGGTTAAATAAAGAAAAACCACAGCACAGGGGTATTCCATAGTTTTCAGTAGTTTAAATATGGCTCTAGAGAATGTGGGATTGAAGTTGGTGAGCATGTCATATTTGTATCCGGATGCTGATAGAAGGCTCTGGCTGGTAGAAAAAGCCTGATTTATCTTTTAGCTACTTTTTCAGTTCTTTGTAATTAGGATATTCATTCTACTTCCATCATTGCATAGCAGTCAAAAGGGAAGTAGAGCAGTTAGCATTGCCCCCACACCTTTGTCATTGGCCCTACAATTTTCAAGAAGTAGTAGTCTTTGAAATTATGTAATATCCTCTACTAATGACAATATATGAATGTTATTACATTTCCTTTTGTGACAATGTGCTGTTGTCTGGCAGTTTTGAGGGTCATGTAGGACACAATGGTAAATAAAGAAGAATTCTTAGATTTTTACATTTTTATTTTAAAACAAAATTTTATAGTAATTAACACCTACTTTTAAACAGAATGATGCATTAATTAAATGCCTTGTCATAACTATTATAAGCTCTGTTAGAAAAATAGACATCTCACAACTACAGTGTCAGCTCTTTAATAAATACATAAAACAGCAGTTAGTAGTCACTCAATTATATGAACAGCTTCATAGTATATTATGTGAAATTGTCATATTCCTCAGTCTTCTGTGTCATTTAAGGAGACTTAATTTTATGTATAATTCAAAGCCAGAAGTAATAAGAAACTTGTTTAATGAGAATTTATTTCTTAGAGCTGTTTTATATTTAAATATTTTAATTTAAAAATACACTCTATGTTAAAAATTTTTTACAAAGGCAAGACTTGTTAAATGAAACAAATAAGGTTATATTACTGATAATTTAAAAACATTTCAAAATTTTCTTTGCAGAGGTTTAAAAATGAAGTAGCTGTTAAATGTACAATAGTTTAAAGTTATGTTAAATATACACAAAATGAATTTCTATATTAATACGTGCAAATTTATATTTTCTTATAATTTAGAATTAAAATATATTCAATGTTCTTAATAAAATTTATGTACCATGCTTGTCATTGTGTGTAATTCTTACCAAATCACATTTCTCTATGGTACAGTGTAAAGTTAGTAAAAGTTCTTTATACAAATCACATTTTCCATCCTTGGTGACTGCAGGGTTTTTTGGGTTTTTTTTGTTTTAATTGTTGGGTTAAATAATTTTAACTGAAGTAGGTTGTAAAGGTTAGAGACCTGGTTAATAGAAATAGCTTATAAAGATAAATTTTATGGAGGAAAGTATTTCAGGTAGATAAAAGTAGTGTTGTTACTCTCAGGTATTTTATTAACAGCTGCCCAAATAGCTGAACAATTGTTTCATATAATTAAAATAATTTAAATATGCACTTTTATGACAGTCATTACATGGGCTTGAAGGTAAATTTATCAGAGCCAAAGAAAAAAGCCACTCAAAAGAACAGAAATGTTAAAGAAGAATAACAAAGTAGAGGACTCAAAGAGAAAGTTTTTGTTTTTTTCCCAACAGCACTGATTTGTTGTATCATATTTTTCTTCTGTCACTGACATAACACATATGAGATGCCGCAAAATCTAATTATTGATGGTTACATGTACTATTCTTCCACCTAATTCTGTTTAACAGCGAGATGATAATATAGAAGTATTCTTTACAAAGGAATAGAAAGCATAAAAAATTGTTAACAAGACCCGGAAAAACCCACTCATTCTTGTCAGTTAAACTAGGGTTTGCAGAAATCATAACCATTGGCATAAACAGGAGGCAGAAAGAACTTTTATAACATAAAGGTCTGCAGGATGTGAGCTCATAATCATACAGTTAGGATCCATGTTGAGTTGTATGTGATCTAATTGTACTGAAAACTGGCTCATGTTACCATAAATAAATTTTCAAATATTTGTAAGAAAGGAATGTCCCTATACCCATGAACATTTAGTTAAATTAATTAGTGTACTATTTATTCAATCACAACCTTCAACACTACATCTAACAGGCCAACAGTTGCAAGATACATCACAATTTCAGAGATGTTATACTGAAAGAGTAGATGTCTCAGAATCAATGAAATATGAATATGTATAATCAATTACCCAGAGTAAATTTTCCATAGAGGAATCATTAAAGAGAAGGGAAATGATCTGAAAGCTAGTTTTATATTTCCTTGAAAAGTAATATATTTCAATTTGCGTTGCATGAAATGGAGTTCTTAAGGTCAATATTTATTGATAAGGACAATCATAAATTAAATGTTAAGAGCAACTAAAACAGAATACAATCTGCACATGCTTGAACTCCCAAGTAGCTATATTTCACTCAAAACTTTTATTAAAATATATAGGTCTCAGATCCTTTAAAATTGAATCTCTAACAGTTGTGATAATTTAAAATTCTTAGTTTTTAATGGATCTTCCTTTGTTCAGGTGAATAGATTCAAGTGAGTTTTAAAATTAAGTGATGTTTGGAAATGAGGAACATTACCATTGCATTTGGTTACTTTTCACAATTAGGCTTATTGAGTTGGAAGTTTTAGGGCAATCCCTTAGGAAAAGGGAGTGGAGAAAAACAGGAGTAAGGCAAGGGAGCAAAAGCCACAGAGTTGCTATCCCAGGTACCTGGAGGAATATAATTCTATAGAGAAAAATTTCCATAGTCCATCATAAAACTATTTCAGTGTTTCATAGGTACCTGTTGTCATACATAATAATATCTTCAATGGAGATTAAATATATATTAAGAAATATCTGGAATTTATTCCTTAGTGATGTATACACTGATTTTAATTTTGAGTTTTGAAAAATTTGCCTGTAGAAAAAAGTCTATTTTGTTTAGCTTAAGTTTTTTAAATCTTTATTAACCAATGCTACTTTGAAAACTTAGGACTTAATAAGGTTTTTAGTGAATTTCTGAGTCTTGCAGAGAATATCTATGACTTCATAAATATTAACGAATTGGAAAAGACATCAAATGCTTATAAATCCATGAACACTGCAGTGTAAAGATGTCCCCAGAGAAATAAAATGCATACAGTTATATTGTAGTGTATGGCACATTTCTAAGTCATTACATGGCACATGTAATTTAAATGTAAGTCATTTAGGGCACAGAAATGCTGTCGTACCAAAAGTGTTCAAGTTCTTAACTTTGTTAACCATTAAAAATTTCATTACTTGTGTTTAATATCAGTGAATTTCAAAAGGCTCCTCTGGTCATATTGAAAATATGCTCTATTTACAAATATTATTTTATCTAAGAATACCCTGTTTTCCTTTACCTTTTAATTAATTCTAACTAGTCAAATATTAATTCTCTTCTCACAAACCATTAAACAGGAACATGCCAATTATTCAAGTAAAATATAAGCTCTAAAATCTTTAAGAATTAGATCTTTAAGTAAAAAAAAAAAAGAAAGAAAGAGAAAGAAAGAAAGAAAGAAAGAAAGAAAGAAAAAGAAAGAAAGAAAGAAAGAAAGAAAGAAAGAAAGAAAGAAAGAAAGAAAGAAAGAAAGAAAGAAAGCACATCACCAAAATAACTACAGTCATCATCTAGCATTGAACTGCCTATCAGGAAGTTTGTCCCTTCCTAAGATAACAGCGTTGGTGCATTATAAATTAGTGCAAACTAGTGAGAATGTCAAAATATAAACCCTGGACTTTTAGGGTTTCATTTTACTTTGCTCTTTTGGATAGTTCATTCCACATGGAAATTAGTTTACAAACATCGTAATGTTCATTTTTTTAAATTGCCAGCATTTTAAGAAATGGATTTTTCCCACTTTTTCCTTTTGGGGGGCTGTCAGGTATCCATTTATTTTCTTTTGAAAAAGGATGCTACATGTGACAGGCAGACTGCAAAATATGATTTTTACATTGTCCTTGGTGGTCAAGGGGATCTTACACAAGTGAGTCAGAGTACTGAATTATGTCAATGTCCCCAACCTCTCATTTGGGGAAGGAAATACAGTTCAACTTAGAGTCACAGTTGCTTGGCTATAGGGGATGGCTAATGGAGCACTGCTGTGTTCGTTGGCTCCAGAACAACTTACTATATGTTTTAAAATGTTCTTTAGGATAGAATATGAGGTGGAGGGTTAGTCTTCATTGAAATGCAAATATCTAGCACTTTGATTAACCCAAGTGCTGGAAGACAAAAATCTGGGATGTTAATTATAAGACATTGTTGTCATAGGCAAAGCTCTGTACTGCACACAGGATTACTGGACTTCTAGCCAGTAAAATCAGACTAAGCCTGTAGGGCTATGGTAATTGTGAAGATGCCTCCATTGGCCTCTGTATTAATCTCTGGTTGAACACTGCACAGCTCTAGGGGGTGCTGTTCATACAGGCTAAGGCGTGAATGGATTTCACCCCTGTAGTTAGCTCTTCGAAGGTGATTAGCAGGGAAGATTGGAAGCTAGTCACGGCCAGTTCAGTGTGGATGACTCTTTTCTGCTTTGCTTTGCAATATTCTCATGCTCATATACTTAAGACTTCAGTAAATCACATTTAAAATCACTTGCCAATTACATATTTTAAAGACTCTAGAGGTAGCATTATATTGTGCAATGAACACTAGCCTGGCAATAAGAAGATAGAAGTCTTCGAATGTTGCCGCTTAATCACTGGGATAGTTTTTGAGAAATCACTTAAAACTTTCTGAGGCTTTATTCTCTGACTGACTAAAAGGATGAATTAGCTTTTTTCTAAGATATTGTCTATCTTCCCCCAGTTGCATACTTTAAAATTCTGGCCAGTGGGGTTGAGGTGATAAAGGGAAAGAATGTCCATAGGCTTCATGGAAGGGCAAAAATAATATAATTTACTATAGCTTTTAATTTGAAAAATGCTAATAAATAGAGTAAATATCTGAGAAAACTCAGTCAAAAGTGTGGCACTTTGCTTGAGGAAGAGTTTCTCAGTATCTTGTGAATTTTAACCTGATGATTAGACAAATGAAATGGTGAAACAGGCCATCCAGTTTACCAGGGAAGAAGATATAAAACTCCACATCTCCAAACAACGAAGCTGTTCAAATTGTGATGTTACTTTACAGTGTCCCTTATTAAACATTCAGCTTTTAAAACCAGTATTCTAATAAAGTGACATTGTATTAAGTTTTTATGGCAGTAGTAACTTAGCACTTATTTAATCCAGTCATCTGTGACATATATAAACTTATCCTGTAAGAAAGAAAACCAAACTCTAGAGGCAAAGAGGAGAGAATGTTGGAATTAGTATCCATCTTGTAAAAAGAAAACAAACACACATGCATAAAACTAGTTTCAAACGCAATATCCCTCAAGATAAGGTTTTATCTGTTCACCTCTTGAATCAGTGGATCACTAACCATTTATTCATCTAGCTGTTCTTGTCAATTTGCTGCCAAATTTTGAAGAGTTTGGCAACATTAGTATAACTGCCGTATTATTTTTCTCATTTGCACCTTCAGTGCAGGGATTACTGCACCCTTGCAGTGACACAATGCTCAAACTGTCTCAAAAGCATTGCGTCTCTCTGGGAAGCGTAGGAATGGCAGGTACCTGTAAAGTGTAATCAGTGCTCTTCAGATGATCTACATTCTATGCTGATCTAAATAAGTTATATATTACAGTAAAGTGCTACAATGACACTAGTTTCAAACAGTAGTAAGACACATTTTTCTCTGAAAAAGTCAGCAGCGATGTGAGTCACATGATGATGAGGATGCTTGTCAGTCTTCATTCTAGCGAAAACCAGCAACTAGCACGATCTAGAACAAGTTGTCTCCTCCTGTGACTTCTACAACTATAATTTTTAGGAGCAATTATTAAAAATCCAGTTTCCATACAGTACTTTTTATCTTTTCAGAAGTTGCACCTGAAAGTTTCATGAGCATTTAATTTGCTGATATCCATTTTTATTTCTTCAGGCTTCTCACGTCGGTAGGTTACTGCTCTTGTGCAAACACTTTGCAGAATCAACTTGTCCTTGACAGAGAAGAAATATTAGCATTAATTAAGGACCTAAATACAGGAAGTAGACAGTGACATGCTGATAGTAATTCTTTTTTAGAATTCACTGACCTTTTTTGAGGCCGACACCCTGTAATCTGCTGAGGACTTTATTTTATTACTATTCCATTGTAATATCACCTGTCTAATGATAAGGACTTTAAGCAGCCCAATCAAGAATGTAACTATGAAAATGATGAAAAATATCCTCAAGTAGCTTGGGCTAGAGAAGCATTCTGTAATGAAGCAAACAAATGAATGGATTAAAAACTGTAATTAGTAAATCAAGGGATTCCAACAAGTAAACAGTGTTTACCATCTCATTTAACAGGACCAAAGATATTTAGAAATCTACATTTTGAAAACAGATAACTGCCATTACTATCGATTCAAAGAGAAAATTCTAGAATTTTTATTACATATTTATTTTTAAAATATTTTCAACATAAAACTCTGCTTTGTAGAATAGCCACAATTAAGGCATTTAGTAAGTATTTTTTGCAGCTTGATTCTTTAGTAGTATTAACTGGAATATGGCCAAATTCCTTAACCCAATATAATTGTATCCATGATAGAGAAAGTGACAGGTTTTGTGGTGTGTACCCTTGATCACTAGTGGAAAATAGGATTTAAAAAATTATTTAACAACTCTACTCGCTGGCTTATGTTTCTCTTATTATACTCACTTTTTATTTGTTTCCCTCCAGTAATGGAAAATAAACATCTGCAGAAGCTAAAATCGGTACTACTATAACAGATGAGTAATTATTTCCATTGAAATTGCAGTGTCACTTTTCATGATTATTACACATAGCTCCTCCAGGAAATAAGAGTATCCAATTCAGGACAATACACAAAATCTCTCTCCTCAGATTTATTTATTTATTTATTTATTTATTTATTTATTTATTTATTTATTTATTTTACTTGTCTGTTAACCAAGTCTATTCTGCATCTAAACATTCCACTTGTATTTTTTCTAGAATAAATAATTACTAGTTGGAAAAGGATATGCTGCATTAAGAGGAGGGGCATGTCTTAGCACTAGACTTTTGGCAAACTCTAATTGGAAAGTCTACAGACTCTGTGACTGCCAGAGGTATTATTCAAATCTGAGAGGAACATGGTTGCACAATATGCCAGTATTCCACAGAACTTACCAGCTGTCCCAGACTCACAAAATAAACTCCTGGCCTAAAGAGGCATGTGTTTTTTGCCTATTCTCCAGATTTTGGGGACTTCACCTAAATGTCTGAAGGTCTCCCTGGGAGGGCCTTTCGGGAGGGGACCTGCCAAGACTTAGAAAAGAGATCACCCAATCATGGGTGATTTGTGTCTGAATTCCCAGGGATGACCAAGCATGCTCTTGAATAATCCAAGAGCTCAGTAACAAGGGCAAGGGCTCCTCACCAGGTGGGAAGACAGTCATTTCCTGTTGGTCGATGGTAAGATTCCCTGAGAGAAAGGTTAGAGAGAGTCTGGAGAACTACTACTAATTGGAATAGAAGCACCAAACGCAAAATGCAACTTTTCCCTCATTACGAGTCTTTCACACACACAGAATCCAAGATGCTCCATTCAAAGGTGATGCCCTTGGAGTCTTTCACAGTGACCTTGAAGTCTGTGACATGCACCCCGTTCATCCTGACAGACTGTCATTTCCCTTGGCTGACTTAGAACTACTCAATCAGCTAAGATCCTTATAGGGGGCATATGGCTTGATCCCACTTACTGGCTTCTTGCCTAGAAGCAGCTTAGCCAGAAAGACCAAAGAACACCCTTTAAGTGTGATTGAGTGGATAGATAATAGAGGTGGCTAACAAATGCCCTTTCCCTCTCCTTGCACAATAGTTGTGAAGAGGAGGGGATTCCCCTAGCTACCGATACATTTTACAAATGTTTCTAATGGGTTAGGATAGAGGACATTTTCAGGGCCCAAATCCAGGTGCATTTTTAAATGTCATTTTGGATAGCCAAACATTAAGCCTTGGCCATGACTATCTTCTTAGTTTAGGTCAAGCAAGGGCTTTTCCTAAGGAGCTTTAATGGAATACTTTTTGTAACCACACTTAGGTCACAGTAGGTTTGTTTACTTAACATAATAAATGACATGTTGACAGGAAGGGCTCCATTTATTAGAAAAGGCACTTGGCTTTCTGGAGTGATTGCTACAGCCCCAGCTGGCAGCACATGGGCTCTTTTCAGAGCCAAATTCAGTATGGGCTAAAATCAGTATAGATGTGAGGGAAGGAAGCAAAACTCTGGAGAAAGTTTATTATTTTGTGAACTCTCTCTAAGATCTGGAATTATTCTTATAGGTTAGAAGAGAGACTGGACATAGTAGTAGCAGTAGGAATGCTTTCAGTGAAGACATTATTTCAAATTCATGTGTAGTTTAATACCTTACACCCAAGCAAGGCAGGGTGCTGACTTTTGGGTTCTAATGAAATGGTCTTTGAACACAGCTTTCACGTGTTTCTCTCATTTATGTGTCATCTTTTAATTTACATAATTCTTTCAGGTTCACTGGCGCATTTAATCTTACACAGCTCTGAGATTGGTATTACCATCTCCATTTTACAGATGAAAAACTTGAGGCTCAGGGAAATATTGTAAAAGGCTCATATTTCTTAGCTACTAGTGTCAAGGGACATATCTTAAGCCAAGGTCTTCAGACTAAAAGTTCCATACCCTTTCCATTGTGCCACCTTTATAATCAATCATTCACCATGAATTTTATATCAGAATGAAAAGTACCAGGAAGGAATGGCCTTTTTGAAGTTACGCATTTTTAAAAAGCAGATCATTGCTATTTAAACTTTTTTTTTGGCTTCACCTGAAACATGAAAATGTTGGTTTGACATGAGGAAGGTTATAACTGGAAGCAAGTTTGGTTTATAAGGGATAATTATGGCTTCATAGATGTCTCTAAGGGTGAAATGGACTCTAAATAAGAAAATCCTTGGCTCAATGAGGCCTCTCTAGAAAATATGTTTGGTGTATACCCACAGAGGTGCACAGCATGGGAATTTAGCTGGGTAGTTGAGATGGGATATCTAACAATCAGCCAATTGTGACAAACATACTCAGTTGATTTTTTAGAGTACTATTTCTGGGAGATTGAAAACATTGAAGCAGTCAGTCCATTCTTTAAGATGGTTGATTTTGGACCCTTTTGGGGAACGTGATTCATTACTTTCTCAGTGCTTTGATTATTAAGTTTGGTTTACCTGATGTTTGGTCCATATAATGCTGTTCCACGAAAGCACATGAGGATTTACACCGATCAAGTATAGCTTGAGACAGATTGTGGGGGTGAAGGCATTGCACACAATTCCTGTAAGGGGAAACAGAAGTGAAAACATAATCTTTAAAAAGCTTGTAGCCTGTAGTATTTTCTACAAGAAATGAAATAAAGTAAAATACTGTTTTAGGACAGCAGCCTTGTGAAACTGGGAAAGAAAACTATGACACTTATTTGTAATCTTGGCTAAATTTTGTACTATGGCAAAGTTATTTTCTAACCACTTAACATGGTTTAATAATGTATGAAATCAAAATACTGATTTTTCTGCCTATGCTTTCTTTTAGGATTTTTATGGTTTCGAGTCTTACATTTAAGCCTTTAATCCATCTTGTGTTTATTCTTGTTTATGGTGTCAGAAGGTGGTCTAGTTTCACTTTTTTGCATGTATCTGTCCAATTTCCCCAACACCATTTATTGAATAGACTGTGTTTACCTCATTGTATGCTTTTGCCTCCTTGGTGTGGGTTTACTTCTGGGTTTTCTATTCTGTTCCATTGTTCTATGTTTCTGTTTTATGTTAGTACCATGCTGTTTTGATTACTGTAGCCATGTTGTATAGTTTTAATAGTTTGATATCAGGTAGCATGATGCCTCTGACTTTGTTCTGCTTTCTCAAGATTGCTGTGGCTATTTGGGGTCTTTTGTGGTTTCATATAATTTTTTTTAATCATTTGTTCTAGTTCTGTGAAAAACAAACTTTGGTATTTTGATAGGAATTACATCAACTCTGTGGATTGCTTTGTGTAATATGATGTTTTAATGATGTTAATTCTTCCTAAGCATGAGCAGGGTATATGCTTCCATTTATTTGTATCTTCTTCAGTTACTTTCTTGAGTGTCTTATAATTTTCCAAGTACAGGTCTTTTGCCTCCTTGGTTAAATTTATTCCTAGGTATTTTATTTATTTTTTTTTATGCAATTGTAATGGGACTGTTTTCTTAGTTTCCCTTCTTGATAGTTCATTATTGCTATAAAAATGCAATGGATTTCTGACCTATTATGCTAAGTGAAATAAATCAGTCAGAGAAAGACGAATACTATATGACTTCACTTATATGTGGAATAAAAAGGACAAAACAAATGAACAAACAAAATAGAAACAGACCCATAGATACAGAGAACAGATTGGTGGTTGCCAGAGGGGAGGGGAGTTGGGAGACTGGATGAAAAAGGTGAAGGAATTAAGAAGTACAAATTGGTTGTTAAAAAACAGTCATGGAGATGTAAAATACAGCATAGGTAATATAGTCAATAATACTGTAATAACTATGTATGGTGCCAAATGAGTGCTGGAAATATCGGGGGAAACACTTTGTAAAGTATATGATTGTCTAACCACTATGCTGTACACCTGAAAGTAATAGAAGATAATATTGAATGTAAACTGTAATTGAAAAGTAAAATTTTTAAAAATAACTATTCTATCTTGAGAAAAAAATCTATAGGAAATGAATAGATACTCTCTCACACACATGCATACACCCACAAATAGCATAGATGCTTTAGAAGATGACTATTACGACACTATTAGAAAAGTTTAGCAATGAATACACAGTTCAGATTTTGGTTGGTTTCATTATAATTAACTCCATCATTATGCATCATTATGTTGAATTTCTAAGAGAAACACATAATTTGCTCTGCATTCTTTAAAAATTTTTACTTAGCTACCAATCCCAGAAAGTGAAGGTCATACAAATTTCTTTTTAAATTTTTAAATTTTATTTTTGTTTAAAATATTACAGTCATATAAATTTGAATAAAACAAGTTGGAAGGTACAGTGATGTTTAGAGTAGTGGTCTTTGAACTCAAACAAACTGTTAACTGGAAAATTAATTATTGGCACAAAACAATAATGCTACCTTCATTTAACATATCACCTTTAATTTATCCATCATTTATTTCTATAATGTTTCATAACCACCATCATTCAATGGTAATAGCTAACATTTTTTTCTATGATTACTGTGTTCTGAGTTTTATTTTTTTTAATTAGAATCATCTAATTCTTTCACAGAACTGTAACAAGGTATTATTATCCTCACTTTTGATATCAGGAATATTGACAGAGAATATTCTCAGAAAATTCACAGAGAATTTCAACGACTTGTCCTAAATCAAACAGCTAATAAATAGTAAACTGTGAAGCACGCAGCCCCTAAATCATCATATTGTAAACCTTAAAGTTGCATAGGTTATATGCCAATTATGTATCAATCAAACTGGAAAAAAACCCAATGAACCCTTATGAATAGTGAATATTATTCTTAAAAAAATACCACCTAATTCAACAAAAGCTAAGGCAGTGAATGCCTAGATAAATTCTGATATTCCACAGCTATCTAGGGGCCAAAGATTAGAATCTAAGTCTTAAAATTCCCAAATCCCCCATTCAGTTCTATTTCAGCAGGATGATAACAATTTATTTGGAGTAGAAGATCCAGTGCTTCTAAGATTATGGAAGGCAGAATAAAAAAGGAGAAACATGCCTTGGCCAGTTTGTCTCAGTGTTTCGAGCGTCGGCCCTTGGACTGAAGGGTCCCGGGTTTGATTCCGCCCAAGGCCGTGTACCTCGGTTGCAGGCTCTTTCCTGGCCCTGATCCGGACACGGGCAGGGTGCAACCAGTTGATGTGTCTCTCTCACACCAATGTTTCTCTCTTTCTCCCTCTCTCTGTCTCTGTCTCTCTCCCCTTTCCACTGTCTCTGAAAAGCAATGGAAAAAATATCCTCGGGTGAGGATTGAGAAAAAAAAAAGGAACAAACACAGCTATAGTGGAGGACTGTTTTATGCATGTTTGGCATCAGAGAACACATACCAGTTTTCATTGCAGGCTGTGTGACACGTGGGGCAGTGCTCACAGAAGCGGCCGATGCTCCTGGGATCGGTGCACTCACACTTGCCGCAGACACAGGTGCCTCTTCCACTGCACACTTGCCCCTTAGAATTGATACAGTGCTGGGCTGAAGTTGATGGGCACTGGCACCTATCTCCTTCCCAGCCACTGAAGCACTGGCATCTGCCTGCTTCACACTCTCCATGCCCTGCAGCAAAGACACCCCAGGACCTAAGTTATTGGGGCCCCCGACTTTGTGAAGCATTTCCAAATGAGAATTCCCCTGCCATCTCCATGGAAACACACAGACAGTGAAGTGAGTGTAAATAGCATCATTTTCTATTTGTCTGACCTAAACAATGCCAGGACATAGGAGTGTCTATCTTCAAAGCTGTTCTAGTGCAGATAATCTGATGCTATTGTATTGTGCTGGTAATTGTGAAGTCTGCCCTGCTGCAGTGACTGCCTGACTACTTGAAGGTCGCTGTACATTCAATTTTAAATTTAAAACACAAATATAAAGAAGCTACGAAGGTTGAAGTAATGTTAATTGCCTGACTTGAAAAATGGGTATTTGATGAATAGCTTCCATAATTTATTTTCTTTGTCTCTCCTTATTGCCAAGGGCCTGGGATCACTTTGAAAGTTCGTGAAACAAACCCTTCTAGTGTTTCAGTTCTGCTACTGCCATGTTTAAAGGTAAAATTTCCAGGGAAGCCAAACTAATCCTTTCACATCTTCAGGACATTGTTGAGCAGGGCCTGTCAAAAGTATGCTGTGCACTATTATTACAGGGTAATGAGAGAAATCAAGGCGGTGGATGTGGGTTTTGGGGTTGGGAGCATTTATACAGACAGATAAGTTAAGGGAAAACAATGGTTATATGTAGTTAATGGATTTTAGACTGCAGAAATATCCAAAATTTAATATGCTAATGTGAACTAGAAATCTTCAAGAGGGGGTACATTTTACAGGGTTATGTAGTATTTCTCAAGCTTATTTAGCCACAGACATTTTCCTTCCTTCCTCCCTTCCTCCCTTCCTCCCTTCCTCCCTCCCTCCCTCCTTTCCTTCCCTCCCTCCCTCTTTTCTTGATCTTCCTTCCTTCTTTTCTTTTCTGGAGAGTATATATCAACAATAAAAGTTGTTGTTTTNTTCACTCCTTTCTCTCTTCCTCTCTTCCTCCTTCCCCCTTCCCTTTCTTCCTCTCTCCCTCCCTCCCTTGCTTCCTGGCTTCCTTCCTCTCTCCCTTCATTGCAGAGCACCTCACAAGGTAACTGTTCCATAGAGTGTACTGTTGGATCGGCTTAATTTGCTAAATGTAAAACTAATGAGGTCCAGGCCAAACACACGCCTGCCAGACCCTGTTGCCTGTAAGCGGGCTGCATGACTGATCCTAGGCAGCCGACCTGTGAACATGTGTTTTTATTCTCAAAGGAAACCAGTGAAGAAAATGCTTGTCGGCCTCCAGTTTGCACTTACAATTTATACACAAATAATTCAAAGCAGATTCTCAACTGCCTGTGTGTCAGTAGTATCATAATCATATAGAAAAGGGTCAGTACATTAATTTGTGATATTTTACTATAAACAGAGACTGGGATTTTCAGTATATTTCAAACTTCTTTGAGATATCGACAACTGTGGGAAAGGATTTCAGAATTCTTTCTCTTCCCTGTCCCAAACAGGATTAGCTCTAAAAAATTAGCAGGTAATTACTGGTTTGTTCTAGTCATCTATAATTCATTTTACCCATACCAGGTTGAGTTGAATAAATGTTTAAAATATAAAATATTTTGTATATATAATAGAATAAAAATGCAATTTACCATCACATTTTTATGTGATATAGGGCAAATTTTTAGCTTACACAGAATAGAAAATTTATTTTGTATAGTTTTTTTACTTTATGCTTATGACAATGAAATATTTATCAATAATTTAATTAATATTTAAATTTATTAATAAAATGCAAACACTAAAAAGTTGTTTTAACAAGTCAGCAGTTCGATTCCTGATCATGGCACATGCCTGGGTTGGGGGCTTGATCCCCAGTAGAGGGCATGCAGGAGGCAGCCGATCAATGATTCTCATGATTGATGTTTCAATCTCTCTCTCTCCCTTCCTCTCTCTGAAATCAATAAAAACATATATAAACACACCATAAGTGGATTTAGCATGTTGTCACAGAAAAATTAATTCATTTAAAAACAATAATTTGTATTAATTTTTAAATGCTGCAGATTTTCTGGACTCTAACCTCTAGATGGCAGTAAACTGAATTAGCCAAAAAGTACTTTAGATGTTTTTGTTTTAGAATCTGGTCTGTGTGGGGCCTCTGAGACTAATCTTCTAGATTACTAATGAAACCAGTATTTTCTTGAAGAATACTGTCTTTTGACAATTTTGTGTCTGATATTGTTCCAAAAATAAACTGGAAAGTTTTAAATAACTACAAATTTCTAATACCATCTATAATAATGCATTAAGAATTTTCCAATGAATGAAAAGTACATTGTTATAGCTCACTGTCCTCTGAGCAAGCTGGAGGGAGTAACCACTTATGAAAATGAATCAGATCCTTCTAGAAGAATACCCTGATTACAGAAAGCCTGTTGGACATCATCAGTAATTTCCTTTTCCAGTATCTATCTTCACAAGGTCAAGGCATACTTGAGAATAGCAATTAATTTGGGGTTTTTATTTTTAACTATTTTATAAAATTATTTAAAATAGAAATATCAGAATCTTGTGATATAAATCTGTTGCCATGCCCTAATTTCAGGGACTTTGAAACTTTAAATATTAAATTCAGATTCAGGGTTAGTAATTATAAAGATGTGATTTAAAGACACTTTAACATATATACTAGTTTAATAGTGATTCATAAAAACTGCATGTGTAATATTATATATTTATACTCACCAGCACACAGGCTTCCATGGTGATATGGACAAGAAAAGTCATCCTTTTCACAGTATTTTCCATATACTTTTCCAAGCTTAATTTTGTGACACAAACATTTCCCACAAATACAAACTCCTCGACCACTGCAAACAGGTTGATCCTTGTGTGACTTGCAACTCTCAGAAGGGAATTGATCTTCATCAAAATGACATTTATTCTCATCACACTGGAAACATTTGGAGTCTAGAAAAGTTTCATCTACACACTTTCTTTTAGGTCCTCTGCTGTTATCACACTGACAGCTGCAGTTTCTGTGTATATGAATTTTAGTGGTTTCATTGAAACCAATAGGTTTGATTATTGCATAGTTTTTTCCTCCTGTGACATCACATTTTTTCATTGTAACTGTTACATTGAAAAAAACCTAAATTTGGGGCAGGGTAAAAGAAAAAATATATGTCTTGATTATTTTTATCACCAGTATTATATCTGTTAATGATATTTTGAATCAATATTCCATCTTATAGAAATTAGTATTTATAAATTACACACGTACTCTTTCATACATACATGTAACATCCTTCTTTAATTTTATTTATTTCCTAATTAATAAACTAGAGAGTGAAAGGATTCAGTGACTGCTACTTGCTTAGATTATTTGAAGTGTCTATTCTACTTTCAATTATTAATTTATGTCCTCAATTGATTTCTTAGCAAACTTGAGAGAGACTAGATCATTTTCCAGATTCTGTCCTTAACATGGGGGTTAACGGAATATTTGATACTAGGGATAGATCAAACAAACTAGATCTCAAGGGTTTAAAACAGTAGAATCCCTTGAGATGGGGTGTTCAAATGAACAATTTTAATTTTGTTTCTGTTTTCTAGGGGGTCAAGTAAAGTTTCAGAGTTACATTTTAGTTTATACATGGTGTTTACAGAGGAAAACATGAGGCTTTCTCTAAGTCAAGGAAAAATAACCTAGGACTGTAACTCTCAGATCTTCAGATCTCAAGGCAAGGCCATACATTTGTCTCAGTGGAGATATTAGCCCCGAACTAAGAATCTGGGCTGGCAGGAATTGGTTTCCTCATGAAACTACAGAATTTTTTTCCCCTGCCAAAGTTTTCCTTTTTCTCAGTTTTTTATTTATGCACATGATTGGTTTAATGTGTCTATTTATATTTGTCAGTCCACCTTATGAACTTTAGGTACTTTGGCAAATAAGGTTATATGGTCTTTTCCATGTTAGACTGAAATCTGTTACAATTTAAAAATAACATGTGCTAGAGTCTTTGTTTGGAATGTAAATAGATAGATATAAATAAACATATGAATATAGATATATATCTATCCATATAAATATATCTCTCTATATCCCAAACCAAAAGCCTAGCACAAATATATATATATGCATTAGAAATCAGAATCAGTCTCATAACATTAAAATCAATACAGTTGGTGTTGTATTTTAAATATTTTTGTCTTTAAGAAATTAAAGGAGTAACAGATGTGTATGATAATGTGGGCACTGCCAGTATTAATAGCAGAGCAAAATGTAGGGTTTATATAATTAAGAGGTCATTCCTGACAGTCAGACTGTTTATATTACTTGTTGTGAGGGGAGTGAAGGGATGGAGACAAAGACAAAGAAAAAAAATGTAAAAAGTAAGGAAAAACATTCTGCCAAAACCGATTTTGAAAGAAAGAACTACTTCTAAGAAGGTAACCCTTTCTCAGAAAGTAACTTAGTGCTATCTTTTGTTACCACAAAGTTTTCTCTATATTTAATGGATATCAAATATGTATTTTGTAAATTGATATGTAATGTGTTTTTTTTTTGAGAAAATCCAAGGAGTGATTATGGGGGAGCCTACAGAACTCAAAACTAGCAATAATTAATTTCAAATATACAGTTTGCTGGAACAACTATACTACCTGCAGATTCTAAATTTACCAAGAGGGAAAAATATATTCAAACTGAAGAGAAAGGAAGATTCTCTTTTATTCAATCTTAGGACCTTAGGACCTTTTATTTTTATCTCTTTGAATAACTCTTGTTCTTTTTCTCTATATCATGAAATTAAAATAATTAATAACATCATACAGTCTTAGATATGGAAGCAAATGGGATTATAAATCTTCTAGTCCAAGCTATTTATTTAAATATGGGGCATCTGATGCCTCAAGAAGTAAATGACTCGCTGAAAATCACTTCATCCAAGAATTCCCTGTGAAAGCATGTTCCTGTGTGTTTGCTCTCTGTAGTGCGGGTCCCAGGAGGGTCCTTCTCTCCTGCGGTCCTGTTCCTGATGGTTCTCTAACCTGGGCCTCGCTTTCCCACGTTTCACCCTTTTTTAGTTAAATGATGACACTTCTTTTTTATTCTTAACAAATTTCCCTGCCTTCTCCTAAATCATTATGAGTGTGTCAGAACAATCAAAATGAAAGATTTTGGGATTCTCAGTTTCAATCTACTGCTCCATCACTCCCATTCTTTTCTGCAGCTTCCTCACTTTCAGTTTCACATTTGCTCTGAGAATTTTCAGATTTGAAACCAAAAAGATACTATCATCATCAGAAGTACAGACACTACTTATTTGAGGAGATGTGATTTCCTAATATGTAATGGCTGTGACACCTACATTTAAAGATATTACCGCTGAATAAGTATTTAATATATATATACTTATTTATTTTAACTTGAGAGTTATGCCAAACATCTTAGTTTACTGGACATGGGAAAAACGCATACCAACTTACTTCGTCATTGCTCGTCACGTTTCCGCATCCTTCTGTGCCTGGCCTTCTGGTCCCATCTGGACAGATGGCAGTGATGTTCAAATGGATGCCTTTCACCTGGTTTTCCACTTGAACTTTCACTTCTGAAATAAGTTTCTGCAGAGGCATCATTTTTTAATTTTATGTGATAGCAGTATCAAATGTAAGCAAGTAAACAGTGTCACTTTTATCAAATCATTCTAGATTTAATGAAAAGATTCTACCTCTATAAAAGGATGAATAAAAACATCAGTTCTACATAATGAAATACGTAAGAAATACTAAAGATTTTAACCTGTCTGCATTTAATTGCTCTATTTTTTTTACTTATTTCCATGTATTTCTTGCATTTTGATCACTTCAAATGTAAATCTAACTCAGACTGTGTTACAAAAATAATCATTTTTGATCCAGTAATCTTTATATTCTGTGATAAAATTTAAATAAAACATTGAGAACACATATCATCAAAGAGAGTAAATCTTGACAGCTTAAAATCTGAAACATGTTTCTGACATTTACAGATGTTAAAGAAACATTTCAGTTTCAAATACTTTAGACTCTCATGAAAGCTAAAATGCCTTATTGACACAGAATTGAAAGGAAGTTTTGGGGAGCCCATTTCTATACTATAGGCTTAAGAATTACCTGCCAGATATGGTCCTATAAATTCTCCATGAATGGCCTAGGATTTTTGCCAAGTCCCTGGGACTTGCTTGTATCAATCAAATCTGTTCCAATTCTTAATGCTGAAATAGATCCCCTTACTGAGCAGAAAACCATTCACTCATTTATGCAATCTTTCAGAAACCATTTATGTAATGCCTATCATGTGTCAAGCACACACTAATTTCTTCCATCACAATCTCTGGAGTTTCAAAAATTCTTGCTACATTAAATACATATTGTAGACTTGTGTGTATTTAATTTTATAAAACTAAAGATCTACCACATGCAAAAATCCTTAACATATATTGTAAACAAAAGGAAGAGAAAAGATGACATACATACCTAAGGAAAGAGTAACTAGATACGAAGAAAAAAATTAATTTCTAATGTCTTCTAATTCTTTACTTGAGTAATTTTTCTTCTTCAGTTGTATAAACAATAAAAAGATGTATGCTAATTAATAATTAATTATGGAATTATGGTAGTAAATCTTTAAAACAAGATACTTCCTCAAATTAGTAAATTTTATTTGGATTAGGTAAAACTGGCAGGCACATTTTTTATCTTCCAAAGAGGTCATACATTGTAATCACTTAATTGAATGATTTGGGCAAACCAACAGAAACTTCTAATGGTATACAACAGGTGTTGACATGGTGATGGTTTGACAGATTAGAAGGAAATCCCTAATATAATGAGTGTTTTCAGTTTGCCCTTCTGAAATTCTGCTTCTCTTAAAATCTTGAGCTAGTTATACCAATGTTTTTTAAGCAGGGTGTGAAGACAAATATCTAAAATGTTGACCAGTTTTGGCATTTAGAAGTTAAGCTCCAGACATAGTTATATAAACCTCACTTTTAATATCTAAAAGGTATAGAGGCAGAATCTATTATTTTATAATGTATAATTCTTTTTTAATTCAATATAATTTTTTTCCCTTCTTAATTTCAGCTAAATCACTATTGCTTTTAGAGTTATGATTTTTATATAATTTTGATTCTACTGACTGCTGATGTAAAGGATAAAAAATAAAATATAGCAACATTCACCATGTACTAAATTTGTGTGTGCTTTTATAAAATTCTTAAAAAGGAAGTGCAAAAGATGAGAAGTTAGAATGAAAATATTTTTATTTTTTTCGTCGATGAATTGTGAATTGTTTCTGTTGGACTGTGAAAACAAAATGAAATTTCAGAAGAATTTTGAAAATATGGACATATATAAAATAATAACAGAACCTCAACTTAAGGAGATTCGTTAGCTAGAGTAAATTTTTGTTGGATTTACTAGTGTTTTTCCATTGTTTAAGGTTAATCAAAACTGCAGTTAGCTTAAGGCTTTAGATACCTATCCTAGGCAAATAAGGAACATGAAACAAAATGCTGTTCTCTTTTCATTGGTGCAGTTTGATGCTCAGGCAACTCTGTTAATTTATATCCCTTGATTGGGGTAATAAATGGGTTCATACTATAAAAACTAGGGTGGCTTCTAATACTTATTTTGATTATTCCTGGGAACAAACTATGGTTGGGCATGAATTGTACACGTTCGATATTCTTTGATAGAAGCTCCCTCCCCCAGCCCTAATGTTCTTTGGTAACAGTGAGAAGGAAATATAATTAAAAATGCACTTCCTTATTTCATTGAACGTATTTTCAGATATACAACAACTGTTTTGGCAAAAAAATCACAGGATTTATTTTCCTTTTTAAAACAATATCACAAGATTTATTTTCCTTTTTAAAAAATTTCAGAAGATTAATTTTTCTTTTAAAAAAAGGAAGTTTAAGCAAGACCTTCATTTTCTATCCTGTGTGTACTTTCTTCCTTTCTCGTTTGTAGCCGTATTGAAGGCAGATGTTGCATGGAGAAAATGAGAAGAGAAGCCTGGGATTTCTCACAACGCTTGGCCTACTATTTCTGCTATTCAACCCTACCCTGCCAGAAAGAGAATCAGAGAGTTTAGGGAAGTGAAACTTTATTAATGGTCCCTAAATTCAAGGTAGAATAAAGCAGAACTTTGGATGCTACGTAAAATTAAAAAACCAAAACAGGTGGTATCACCTGGGGCCTAGAGTTAAGGAAGCCTTAGGTTCTGTTCCTGCCTCTTCTGCTTATTAGTTGTTTGACCCTTGGTTAATTTGTGTAGCTTCTTTGGGGTCTACAAATACTCAGTGGGAATACTAACTCCTGCCTTAGAGGTCAATTGTGCATATTAAATGAGGTCATGTATGGAAAGTAACTTGTTCTTAGTGGAATTAAAGTAACAGTTACTATCATTATAACATCCTAACAGATAATTCTTTCTAGGAATGACCTAGGTTGAAAGAGCAGATGTTTCTTTAAATCTTGGCATTTGGCACCCACTTTTCACAGACTAGAGACAGCATATAAGTGTCCATAAAATAATCTCTCTTTTAAGGTGATTCTTTTGCTTAAAGTAGTTTTTATAAGACTGCTAAAATAACTGATTGGACAATCAAGTGATTGATTCAGGAAACGTATCAGAGTCCTCTTAGTAATCTCTGTATCCCAGAGAGTTCATTTTACCTGACAGGTTGCCGCTTTAAATAAGAGTATGGATTTCTTATTTTATCTTTTTGACATAGGAAATTGTGAAATTTCTTGGTAATAAAGTATATTCTATAGCTGTGATTTGGTGACTCAGTAAATATTTGATTTGGAAGGAAATTTAGGTTGCCTGTAGCCTAACCTGGGTTTACTGTCTGTGAGACACAGTGAGGCACAGAAGGCTGAAGTGACTTTTCCCCAGTGTTCTACGGCTGGTTAGCAGTAGAGCCAGGGCTGAATCAGGATCTTAATTCCAAATGTAATGTTCTTTCCTCCACTCCTTTCAGGATGATACAGCACTAGTTTATACCTTGCCACAGAAATTGGGGTTAAAAGTTTATTTTAAAAATTATGTGGAATACATATGTACATACCTGATAGGCTTCTACTACCAAATTATTGAGGTTTGCAGCTTTGGATTCTATTTCACCAGCAATGGTACCAGGCAAGAGGGGCAGAAGGTCCTGGAAAATATACCAATAATATTTATTAATGACAGTCATATGCAATGGTTTAGCAATCAACAAATAGTAAAAATTCTTGTAGTTACCAGTGGAAGGTTATATTACATGAATCAAAAAGTATAAGAGAAAAGAAAAATAAAAGCAACCAACTAGGGCAGCCAAAACAGATACACCTGAAATGGTAATGTGTATGTGTATGTGCAAGAGTGTATGTGTATGCACAAATTACATGCTGACCTAAAACCCAATCAAAGTACAGACCAGCATTTCCCAAAATATCTTCAATGGAGCATAGTCTCAAGAGATTTTAAACATGAAAGGGTTCTAAGGGCAGATAAGTTTGCCAAGTTCTACACATGGTTTCTTCCACTTAGAGACTCAAAATGTACACTTGCAAGTTAAAAGTTCAGAGAAGTCCTGCAATTCAGAATTATTTAGCATTATTTAATGCAGCATTTCCCACCATTTCCTTAATTACAAAACTCTTTTCTCATGTAACATATATAAACATTTTGCAGAATGACTGTTCATGGAATGAACTTTATCACATGTTGACCCAGACTGGAGAAAGAAAATCATAGTCACAAGTGGAAGCTTCATGGAGCAGGTGTTCTTGATGGATGTTCTTAATTACTGAATAATTATGGAGAAGACTCTAGGTATTCCTAGTGAGAAAACGAATTAGCAAAGCCTTAAAGGTTTATCTGAGTTGTGTGTGAAATAAGAACAGAAGAAACCAGTCTGATTGGAGTGAAGGATGTATAACTAACTTCTAAGGAATCAGATTATGAAAAGTATTGAAATCCGTTTATACACTCATTTTTTATCATTCACAAGTTTCATTAAATTCCGCTGTGTGCCAGCTACTACTTAGACACTAACAATTTTGTATTTCAGGTAATAGGGAAAATGTATCACCTACAGATTTTTAAAATCCATTTATAAAACTTTTTGAGAACCTATTGGATACCACTTTGGAGATGCTAAATTGCTAGGCCCACCTAGTGTCCATCCTGAAGGGTCCCACAGGTACATAAATGACAATTTCACAAAACAATGTCCTCATGAAGCAATAGAGAGAATGCACAGACCCTAAGGAGAGGGGTGCCCAGCAAGCATTTGAGGGTTGGGGAAGGTTGCCAGGGACTGTTTCCTGGAGGAGGTGACACATGAGCTGTGTCTTAAGGATGAATAACAGTTAGCCAAATAATGAGGGTGAAGGGCTTCCAGGCATGGTGGTATATGGCAAGGACATTGGCACAAAGGAGAAAGAGCCTGGTAAATGGTGTGTACAGAAGAATTAGAAGCATGGCTGGAGGGACAAGTGAAAGGCAAAGAATAGTGGGGGATGAGTCCAGACAGGCAAGCAGGGATGAGATGATCTCTTAAACGATGTTAAAGACTCGATCCTCAAAGTCAGAGGGAACCCTAGGAACATTTTACTTTAGGGAGCACTCTGGTCCACTTGTGATTTAAGTAGATCATCCTGCAGCCAGGTGGATGATGGATTTGGGAGATGTGTTAAAAAGCTGTTACAACTCAAACAAAGGTGGTTGATAGAAATGTCTCTGGGCAGTGAAAGAGACTTTGTCTTTGACTGTAAAAGTATATACAGGACTCACAGTACAGCCTGTCAGGTTTTCAGAACCTGTTTATCCTTACTTTGCACACAATTCAATTATGGTTTATCAGTCAGTGTAAATTTTTTTAACTGAGCAGGAAGAAACTGCTAGAGCCAATAACACCATCAAAAAATAATAAGTAGCAGAGAAAAATGAGGCAAAAGCAATGGAAACAGCATAAGGAATATAGTCAGTAACATTGTAATAAGTATGTTTAGTGACAGATGTGTAGTATCTTATCAGGGTGAACACAAATCACTATGTTTTTGTACACCTGAAACTAATATAATATTGTATGTCATCTCTAATTGAAAAAAAAAATTAACCCCTCTCCCCAAAAGCTACACAATAATCTGAAATTCAACTATTAAGCTTAGAGGTTGAGAGCATAGGATTTAGAATGTTAGGAAAGTTTGGGAAAGTATATAGCCTCCCTAACTGTGTTTCCTCATCTTTAAAATTGGACATATTATTTACACTACCCTCATTGTTATGAGTTGTTAAGAGCATTAAGTGAGTTAATAAACTCAGTGCCTGACAATAGTAAGTATTCAGTAAGTGGAAGCTGTTAGTGTCATTAAAAAAGTGGTTTGGGCATTGGATTTGGGCAAGAACCCCACTTCTGTGAATGTTAGTGGTTGTTACATTAAAAGGGTGCTCCACGGGATATACAGTTGGGAAAACAATGAATTAATAAAGTTTAACTATGATGTCTAAGGGAAGAAGTGGTATGATTAAAGAAGTGCTTTCAGGTGGTCAGTATGGCAGCCAGGTATTAGGGAAGCTGGTGGACGGAACATCAGCTCTGGGCAAATGGGTTCAAGTATTTGTTGAAGACAAATGAAAATGTAGTTTCTCTGAAGTATTAAAAAGTAAGTAAAGGGCATCAGGAGTAAGGAAGAGCAACAATGACAAAGATAAAGAAGATACAAGAACAGACATGTGCAGTGAAAATCAGGGTATCACAGTATCATGGAAATGAAGGAGAAAAAAGTGTTTCTCCGAAGAAAGAGCCTAAGACTGCAAAAAGAAAGCTATAGTAAGGTCACAGAAGAATAGTTCTGTGTTGGTGAAGGGGGGCAGTCCCATGGTGCTGCCAGATTGACATAGCTGCCAAATGTCTGTTCTGCTTGTGGGTCTCTCCTAACCTGAAGGATTCTGGACAAAACAATATTCTTATGCAGGAAGGCTTTGGACTAGTCAGCCACTTTCATGGTTCCTCCTGTTCCTTTGTTGGATGACTTTGACCAAACCTAGGTATGCTGGTGCTAATTAAATTGATATTCCCAACCCAATCTAGCTGGAGTGTGAACTATTTTTTACCTGATCAAAGTCCTTTCAATTATTGTCACAGTTAGAACCACCCTCAATTTCGGTGCCCACACTTGGTTCTAGGTGCTGTAGATAGAATTTATACTTAAACGCTAACTTAAGACACTTTGTAGTATACATTAGTTAATACAGTATTCAATTTAGATTGTACGAAGAATCTAGAATTCTAACTCTAGAATTCTTACTTTTGGTACTAAGAGGTATTCTAGTCTCAACTACCAAGGCAAACATCTTAATTTTTATATTTGGGAATGAACATACCTTATACCAATGAAACTGTTTTCCTTGAACTGCAAAGATGACATTAATGTTGTTGTCTATTAACTTTTCTGAGAGTTGGCCTAGTGAGGGATGTTCCTGTTAACGGACAATGAAATAAAGAAGGGAGTGAAATTTAGTAGCTTGATCCCACACATATCCAAAAATTTCTTATAAAGGAAACCATATGACTGACATAAAAACATGTTTTGTTTGAAAAGGTTATGGCTTTACTAGAGACATTTACATTCTTTTAAAAATAAGATCAACATCATTGTATTAAGGATATTTTATAGACAAAAGTTCTATAAAAACATATCTCAGAAAAATGAAAAGGGATGAATTCAACATAATACAAAGTATTTGGCACATTTTTAGGTTAACATTGGGATTAAAGGGGTATAACTGAAAGATAATTGAATATTCAGACAGAGACACATTAGTGACAATCACATTCTGAGGCAAAATTCAGTAAAATGTATTGAAATGCAAATATTTGTATATACATACAGATACACACACATACATATATATATTTGATATATAACATGATATAGTACAAACTTTGTTTAAAAGCAAAAAGCCCTGTACTCAAATCCCAAGTTGTCACTTTATGATAAAAAAATTCTTTCTCATGTCCATTCCCTCCAACATGTGAATGGTGTCTGCTTTCCATGCTTGGTGGCAAGATGAAAAAGATAACAGTATGTGAGCTACTTAGTACAGTTTCCTGCATAGAGTAGGTACTCAAAACTAATATTAATTATTATCAGAATTTTTACTTCCCACAGCTTATACAAGGTATAGGTTACAGTTCTTCAACTTATTATTCTATTTAAACTTTTTATCCTATATGTATATATTATAAATCTGTTTTACTTTGATAAATAGAGCCAACTGTGACATTCTTTGTGGTAGTGAGAAAGTTTGGGATTAGTGGAAGGGGAATAAAATTTAATTTAGTAAATATGGGAAATCTGACAACTTAGAAATTGCTATACCTGAAGTTACATAGTTAGATACTTGAAATTTTTTCTTTCTATAAATACTCTTCTAGAAATTAAATTAATAATCTCAAATAACAACTTCATACTAGACACCTCTCAAAGACAGGTGTCAAACTTTACCTGCAGTGGTTTTCAACTCTCCATTGGTGCCTAGTTACATTAGCCAAGGATCATGTGACTGAGCCTAATCAAGTAGCATGTGATTCAAGTTCAAATTACTATGTAGTTTTTACTTCCCCTTCTATCCTCCCAAGTTAATTGTGTTTTCTTAAGGGGAAACTTTTGCTAAACCATCTTGGTTAACATTTCTGTATTTTGGCAAATATATGAACTTAGTAAAAGAGCTAAAAGTATTAGTTTTGCTTATAGCCTAAGTCCTGTGACCCACATATTAAATTTATATACACATACATAGGAAATAACCTTGTGCTTAATAATACTATCACTAACATGAGCAACTTCTATGATCTGAATATTTGTGTTCCCCTCCCCAAATTCATGTGTTGAAACCCTAACCCCCAAGGTGATGATGTTAGGAGGCGGGCCTTTGGGAGATGATTAGGTCATGAAGGTGGAGCCCTCATGAGTGGATTAGTTCCCTCATAAAAGAGGGCCAATGGAAAAAGCTCCCTTGCCCCTTCTACCATGTGAGGTTACAGCTAGAAGGTGTCATCTATGAAACAGAAAGTAGGCTCTCACCAGACCCTGAATCTGCCAGTGCCTTGTTCCTGGACTGCCCACCCTCCAGAACTGTAAGGAATACATTTCTGTCGTTCATAAGCCACCCAGCTTACAGTTCTTTGTTATAGCAGCCCAAATGGATTAAGATAATAACCATAACAAATATGCCTTTATTTTTATATAATCCATAGTTGATGTGGTAGAAGCAAATCAAATTTTCATGAATTGCATTTAAATGTGATATGAAACCAATTTATGAATAAGTTAAAAAAGTATGACCACATGGATTTCCATAAGAAAAATTTTGCCCAGAGCAATTCTTAAAATAATTTTAAAATAATAGAAAAATAATCCCCCAAATATAAATTCTACCAGATAAATTCTTATTCCTTGTTCCTAATAATATGTATACTCTTAAAATAGATTTATGACAGTTTGCATAATGCTAGTAAATTAAAGAGAACGAGTAAAGGAAGGGTAAATCTAGCTGTACTGGGAGTGTTTTTTAATGGCAACAACTACTTTTCAAATATTTTTGCTTTGACAAAAAAAAAAAATCACAATTTGCCAAGCATTCCCCCTTCTTAATTTTTAAAACCATTCATATTTTACAGAAAATTTAATCCATATGCTTTTAAACAGCTTATACTTAACTCACATAAAATCAATATTTAAAGAACAGTTCAAGATGTAAGCAACTTTTGGAGCCTTCTTAATCTCTTTCCCCTTTCAAAAACAGGAAGTCACATTGATCAAAAATACACAAAATTAAATCTAGAAAGTTCTAGTTTGGTCAGAAGCTCATTTTTAAAAGGGTGAGTTGGATTTTTTATCTTAAAAGAACACTTTTTTTTTTTTTTTGAATGCAGAAAGAAATCTGTTTTTTAAAAGAAAATTCCAAGTACCTTGATGCAGATTTGTTAAAATTACAAATGTTTAACAGATGTTTAAATAAACCACTGTTGACAGGAGAGCTGTGGATTAATGGCCATTGTCGGAACCCCTTCCCCTTTCCTCCATGAAGAACATTATCTTTTAGGTATTTTATCTTTTCTGTCTTGTATTTCACTAGCAGGAACACTCCCTCTCAGCCAGCTGTTGTAGTGACGTCACTGTTCCTCATCCCTAACTCCCCCTTTGTCTAACCCAACACATTGTTTCTCTAAACTCTGAAAATAATTAATAGAGATAACAGGCATTCCAGGAAGAAGGGAAAGTAATGTGCCAAGACAGCTGCTATGTAATTACGGGCAAAAGGATTCCTTTCACATTTTCACCATCACCTTCACTGTGACTTGTGGGAAATAACTTAAAAATGTCAGAAGGGAGGAGTAGGTAAGGAAGATTCACTGAAAGCGATTTGGTTAAAGAGACAGCTGTATAGAGATGTGTGGAAGAATTTTAATGTGCATATGTAGTGGCAAGGAAAGAAGTGTTTAAGATTTTAAGATGCTCTTCACGAGAGTAAGATTTACAACAAAATTTTGTAAACTAATATAGAATTTGTAGTATTGGATATCATGATATGCAGAAAAAACCCAGTGTCTTCATTAAAGTACTCAATTATCTGGACTATTTTTTTACAGTTCACTTTTTAGAGGAAAGAGACAAATAACATGAAAGCAATCTTATAACAGACTTATTTAGAGATGATGATTTTGTGTGTCTTCAGACTATTTTCTATGTACATGTCTACACAATAAAATTGCATAGACCAGGGTTTCTTACCAGTGACACTATTGAGACTTGGAAACCAGGTATTCTGTGTTGTGGGTAGGGGACTGTCATGTGTAGTGGAAGATATTTAGCAACATCTCTGGCTTCTATTTACCAGATGCCAGTTGCTCCCACCTCTCCCAGTTGTAATAAGCAAAATGTCTCTGGACATTGAAATTTCTTCTGGGGGGCAAAATCACTCCAGTTGAGAACCATACCAAGAGTAGGGTCTCTAGAAACAGACAATTTGGGACCTCAGCTCCTGGCTTTGCAATTACTAGCTATGTAACACTGGCCAGCTGTCTTAACCTCTCTGTGATCCAGTTCCTATATGTATAAAATAGGTATAAATACTAGTATCTACCTCTCAGAGTTATGAAGGGGATTAAACGGGTTAACCTGTGTAAAGGCTTTGACTTACCATTCTGTAATTATTAATCTTAGATTAGCAATGAGTAGAAGCTCATGTCCGATGTCACAATGCTTGGCATGTGTCATAGGCACCACTACTTAGGGCTGTGTGACCACACACAAGTTCTTGACTCTCTCAGTGCTTCTGTTTTCTCATTCATAAAATGGAGGTAATAACAATATCTATACCTCCCTGGGTTTTGGGTGGTGTTATGTAAATGTAAAGGACAAACACCACACAACCACCCAATAAAAGACAGCTTTCAATGAAAGACTTAATAAAACACATTTGGAGGCCATTACTAACGGCTAGATGTTGGGCTCTTGGGTATTGCTTTGTTTCACTTGTCTGGTTTATGTACCCTTCGTACAAGGCCCCTGAAGTGCTTTGAGTTTGTGGCTCCTCCCCAGCCCAGTATCAGTTGTCATCATGATATCCTAGTTACTGAAGTGAGGGGCATGGACTTTTTGTAAGCTTTTCCATCAATGAGAGTGGTAATAAAAAGTGTTGTGCTTAGATGTGAACTGAAACATATAATTTAAACATATAATTTAATTGAAACATTTCACTTCATGAATATTTGCATCAAATTTTGTTTTCATTGTGTCACTTTGGCAAACCATTATTTTTTCTCATTATCAAAGCCATTATAAAAGCAGTGAAGTCTAAGCCTGGCCCCGGTGACTCTGTGTGCAACTTTTGCTTTCGATTTAAAAGAAAGAAATAAACTGAATATTGTTTGTAGAGGTCATTTCCTGGCTATTTTACTGCTAGCATGAGAAGCATTCAAAATTAGGTATATTCTGAAGTTACTGAAGTCATTATTGTTCTCACAACATTTATAATTTAGAGCAGATAGTTCAGAGAGCAGTAAGCTGATATCAGGCATTTTGTTAGTTTTAAAAGTTGTAAACAATATTTTAAAAAAACAACTGCACGTGGACTTAAAACTCTTCAGGCACATTCTGCCTGGGTGACATTTCTTTTACTTTCCTGATTATGCATGTTTATAAGGCCCAAAAATGCTAACACTATAAACTGACATCATCTCTTCAATTAATTAACAAAGTTATATTTTTATATAATGTTAAGCTGAGTCAAATATAGTAAGAATCATGAAATAAGGTGAAAAATTTTATTGTATACTTTAGTTTGGCCATATTAGAAATAGTTATTATCCTGAGACTAAATAAATATTAATGTCTTTTTCCCTTAAAATTATTGTTTTAGTTTAGATGGCTTCTCCACTTGACTTTAAATAACTATTGTGCTGTTAAACCTCA